TTTTTTATTGGAGATATTTATCAATCGTTTTAAAATATCAAAACTGGCTTTAAACTATCGGATATTTTTGCAATCCTAGCCACTTTGGCTAATATGAAAATAATTTTATTATCGAATCATTTATTGTTACTTTTCAATCGTTAAAAATGCATTTTTTTATTAATTTATTATTATTTTAATAATTTATTTTAAATTTAAATTCTCTCTCTCTTTCTATTTGGAAAAAACAACATTTGATATTAACTATATTAAAAGATATAATTTTGTAAATTATTTTTTCCCTAAAATTTAGTTTGCTATAAAAAATCGTTTATTTTACATCGTAATTATACAAAAATCATTTTAATATTAAAAAATATTTTAATAATTTCATTTAAGAAAGTTCGATTCCAAATCAGTTGAGTAATAAATAATTTTATGAATATTTCTTGTTCTCTATAATAAATCTGAATTTCCAAAATAGTTTAATAATATTTACAGTAAAGTTAATATATTTTAGGTTTGGCAGAGTGGTACGTGCCGCAAGGTGGACTTTTTCTTTGGATAAAGCTAATAGGTGTAGATAATGTACTGGATTTGGTGATGAACAAATGCATACCCCAAGGTGTTGTCGTTGTTCCTGGAAATGCCTTCAGCTATGATTCTTCAAAACCCAATCACCATTTGAGATTCAGCTTTAGTTATGCCTCGCCAGAAGATATGGACAAGGTATGTAAATTGGGAATCTATTGATTCTGATTTTATTTGTCACAGCGTGCATATATGTATATATATATATATGTATGCATACAGATGCACGTATAAGAATTATATTCACATTTATACGTAAGTAAAGTATAGTAAAAGTAATACATAAGAATAATATCGATCACATTCTTAAAAAAATTTGATACATCGATACTTTCTATCATTCTTCAGGGACTGTCTATAGTGGCCAAAATAATACGCGAAGAAGTAGCGAAGAAAAATAACAATGTTTCGATGTGAAAAGTATTATTATCACATACGTATTTTATATTGAAAGTTATTATTTTTTTATTATATGATTTTTTCTCTAATAAGATAATACTTTCTAACTCTACAATAATTTGCTCTACAATTTCTGTTTTACGATCTCCTGAATATTCTACAAATAAATTGTCTTAAAATATGTATCTCGAAGAAGCTGTCAATAAAATATTGGGAAATACATGTTTGATGGAAGATAAGGAAATAAAGATAAAGATAATCACATTAAATATCTCGCAAATATACTTGTATGATTAAGATCATGACTATTTATGCACTTTTAAAATGTTGAATACTATCTACACATCAAGAAGTTATAATCGATAACTTACTAATAAACTTTTCTGAGTATGGTTTAATATTTACTCATATACAAATAGAATACTCTATTAATTAATAATAATATTTATTTTATTATTAAAATAAAGAGAAATAAATGAAATCAGCATTTCTATTATACACTGACGGAAAATGAAATCCCAACATCAAGATAGAGTTATATTAGATGATTGAAAATTACACGTATCAAGATATTTCTAAGTTCCGAGAAGAATATGAAAATATTTTGGAGCCCCTTTTTCTCTGTTCTCTCAATTACTGTCTTTTTTGCTTTCATTTTATTCAAAAATATAAATATATAATAATTACAGTATCTCTCTTAGTCTGACTCCTCCCCTTCGACCTGTCAGGCATGAGTGACCCTACCGCTAACTATCAACGTTTTCTAATGAAGCAAGTTTGATCGCTTTGGGAGCGATTAAACCCAATTTACCATGAATATATGTTTGACCAAAAATAAGTTTTAAGAGAATCTGATTAATATAAATATATGATACATTAATAATATAACTAATATAAAGTACATCTCCCTTTTTTGTTGCTATTTTGGCTTTAAAGCACAAAATTCTTTGCCCTGATTAATCAATCAA